ACCATTGCAATAGATGCTTGGGATGACTTGGCTGGAATATCCTGGAAGTCGCACTGCATCAGAAGAGCTTCGGTGAGGTCTCCCTCTCTGCACTCTGTTCACCAGTGGGCACAGACATGGTTATCTGCTCTGCTTGCCCTTTCCTCTCTCCAGAGTTGGAACCCAGTTGCTGTAATTTGATTTCTTTTTTAGTCTATAGTTCCCAAAACAGATAGTTGCTTTTCTGACTGTAGAGGTAAATGCTTCAGGTTTGATTAAAACAGGGTGGAAATCTGTCTTTCAAAGCTGGAGAATGCTGCAAGAGACTTTATCAACTGTATACAGTCCTTCCTTTTGTGTATGTGGATTTTTGAGGCACATGTGTTTTTGAGGACTTATGTCTTTTAGTATTTGTTGTAATTCCAGAAGGCTGTTAAGTTGTTCTTGTAATGCCTTTCACAGATGATGATCCCGTTCTCTTATCCACTTTCTGGAAAGATATGATGCTTCGCGCAATTTGGAAATGTTTTAATTTACTGTCATGGTCAAGACCCAGCGTCAAAATGTTTGACACTGCAAAGCTTCACAGGAAGTTTGGAAGCAGGAATAAAAAAACCTGTCACATGAGAAGTAAAAGTGCAGAGCTAGAACAACATAAAGTAAAAACATGCCAATGTTAAGAGAGCTTATTCCAAGACCTTTTGTCTTATTTCCTGCTATTGTCTGTGGCTGTTTGAACAGATTAAAAAACCCTTCAGTTATTTGTCTGCAACCGTTCCCCCCCATCCCTCCCATTTGATAATAAGGAAATGAGACCGAATCTGGAGAATTACTGTCACCGCCTGGTTTTGTGTTGAGTGGCTTTTTTTCCTTCCCGATTTGATTCCTTTGATGCTGTATTGTGCCAGTGATACTGTTGCTGCTAAGAAGTGACACGTAAAGTAAATGTGTTGATCTTGGTCCAGTTGTTAGTAGAGTTACATCCTAAAATACACCGGAAATGCCGATTTTTTTTCTCTCACTTCTCATACAGGTCAAAGAGTGACTCAGATGGGGTGGTGTACCTTTGATTTAGACGTGGTGACCGCTTGTTCTGGATGCTGGTGAATTAAGTGTAGCATTTAAGATTACTACTGAAAAAATGATTAAAGGAAAATTCATTACCTATTAATGTTGCCGCCAGTTAATGAGGCATTACGTGCTTTAACTAAGCTGAAGTGTCACGTAGCTCAGCCTTTCTGCTGCGGCGTCGGTAACGTGCACGTCCTGCTGTACACGGCAGCAGCTTCTCTTGGCGTGAGACGCTCACGTTAGCACCCTTCCAGCCTGAGCGGCGTGGGAACGCGTTCAGGTAACTTTGAGAGCATCATTCTTCTTCGAAGGAATGAAGACAGGGTTTCTGGTGTGCTGCATCTCATTCAAATGCTTGGGCCAGTAATGACAGGGAAGGGTCTCGAGGAAACTGTCAGGTTCCACCAGGTAACTTAATGCAGAGATTGTGTAGCCTGAAAGGAGTGATGGAGTAAGTGGTGGCTGAACAGATTTAAATATTTGTTTGTGGTTTTCTTCAGTAGTCCTAGAACAAGCCCTATCTAAAATGTTTCCTCTAATATCCAGAGTAACTTCGGGATTAGTAAGAGGTAGCTCAAAGTATGGTCACTTCCTCAGGAGAGGGCAGGTGTCTGGGGTGCAGGTGAAAGTCACTGGTTTTAAGCAGTTGTGTCACACACTGTCATGTTCTTTGCTCAACATTTTCATGTTTAAAAGTAGAATTTCAACATTGGTTCCATAGTTAGACTTTTTAACAAAAAAATAAAATCTCCAAACCCCCGTAGAGTGTTGTGGAGTTGCAATTCTGTGCAATCCGTGTATTTTTTGGCGTAACCAAGTGCTTTTGTGTGGCTGCTGTTAGAAGACCCTCTGTGAAGCCCCTTCCCGGGGCTGCCTCTTCCAGCCTACCTATGGCCCGTGCTCGCCCACAGCCCAGAATAGCCGAGCTGACAGCTCCGAGCAGGACACGCTGTCCCGGCGGTGTCAGCGGGCTCGGAGCTGGTGTCATGTGAGCTGTGCCGTATCTCTTTTCAAAGCTGGTATTTTGTTCGTTCTTCTTCCTTCTCTTCCAGCTGTAGCACTTGAAGCTAGCAGTGACCAAACGCACACCCTGGGCTCGTGGCAGGCAGGCTCTTCTGAGCTCTTAATTGTCTTCCCTCACGGTAAGGAACTGTGTCTTCAGTCTCCTTATGGCAGCTGGGAGTTGTGGTTCTCTTAGGAATTGTCCCAGATTTGTGTGATCAGACACAGGTTCTCCTATTCAGAAATAACTCCCTTTTCTCGTTTTCAGCTTTAGTCCTTCCCAAAGGCAGGACACAGTAGATGCGATGTGTGATCAGTAGTAAGACTACAGATATTTCACGTGACGCTGCCTGGACATGCCTTTTATCTCAAGGCTGTAAATGGGAAATTTCTGAATTCCTTTGGAGACGAGTGGCGAGAAGTGAGGCTGTCAGTAGCCCGCAGTCCCTGGCAGTGTTTGCTCTGTGCTTGTGCACTTAGAAAGAGCTTGTGTTCCGTTCTCGCAGGAAGTAAACAGCCTTCCTTCAAATCATGAATAATAAAATAACTAAGATAATTCTGGCAGTGTAATGTAAGGTACAAGTTTCATAGAACAGTTTAATATTGATATTAAGAGACATCTTTTAATTTTTTTGCATATTGACCTGGTTAACAGTAAGCCTACAGATGCCTGTTACCAAGGGAATCTTAAAATCAAACTTCGTACTAATAGTGATTGTCCCTCCCCCACTGGAGCTTTGTAGTACCAACCTTGAAAAACTGTTTTTGTTGGGAGCGACCCATGTGTTGGCCTGTTTACATGCAGCAGGTACTCCAGCTCTCTTAACCCTTTTTGAGTGAGTGTTCATTAGTGAAAGTTCATTTGCTTCAGAAACAAGAGGAGCCTTTTCTCTGCTTTCTCCCCAGTCCAGCGTGTGTGCGTGTTACAGTAGCTGGTGTTGGGAAGGATCTGCCAGAGCTAAAGGCTTATTTCACTGACAGCTGTTAAAAAAAGACAAGCACAACTTGCTACAGAAATTCTTCTGCATCACATTTTCTCCCCCACTCCTCCAAATATTTAAAATACCTTTGTATTTTAAATGAAGAGTTAGTCATTGCCCAAGTGCCGGGCACACACTATTAATACACTAATGAGGTCAGGTTGTGCTCTTTTGCTGAGTGAATACTTGCCAAAACTCTTGAAACAAGTTTCTGCAAATGCTTGCGTTGGCCTCTAAATCTTCCCTTGTCACCATTAGGCTTCTCGTCGCTGCGGAGGACAGCAACAGTGTGGCTCCGAGTGGCGTATTACCTAGAGCGTGTGTGGATAACGAATAATTAGTTACGAATAACGTGATTAAATAAGCCCCCCAAACCTGCATATAGTCCTTTGTGGAGAAAGAACGTGTGTGTGTGTGTGTGTTGTGCAAGTTCTATATTTGCTGGGAAATTGAGGGCTGGCTTTGCTCGGGGCTGGAGCCTGACCCCAGACCTGGCATGGAGCAAGGGGCGCTGCGATGTGCTCCGTGCGGCCCCCGAGCAGCTGATAAAATTACCCGGATTTGGCTCAGCGTCAGGCTCAGACGTGGTGACACTGATAGTTCGAGTATGGTTTTTGTTTCCCAGAAGGGCTAGAAAATATGTATTGCTGCTGACTGCAGCATTCCTAAAAGCTGTGCAGGGCGCTGGTGACCGTGGGATCCCGGTTGTGTTCCAGACTGGGAGCATCTCGGCTGCCTGATGGGCAGCGCATCGCAGCCCGTGCCCGCTACGGCTCCGTGTTTGCAGGTGAGCAGACGGTCGTTCCTGATCGCTCTGCCGTGCTGGGCTGGAAGCTGCCGCCTCCGAGCTGGCCCTCTGCAGAGGGGGACAGCCCGCAAACTGCTTCGGGTGGTCTCTGCGTGGCAGCCAGGCTTTGTGGGCTGGGTGGCTCCTCCTGACGCTGAGGCACCGCAGTTGCGCACGCAGCCGGAGGAACGGGATATTTCTGTGCCGTGGCGATGGGCATTCGAGAGCAGGGGTACCCCTGCTGCTCTGCGTTGGGCTCGGGTGGTGTTTTCAAATGTCCAGCAGCCTACTGAAATAATGACAAGTCTGGTACATCCAGTTTGGGGAAATAAGTTCCTTTGCTTCACCATTGTGGGAATTTCACTTCTCATTTTTTTTAATTTTTTGTTTTAATTCTTCAAAATGGAAACTGACTGCCACGCTTCCAGTTCCTTCCAACTGGTTCGTGTTACAGCTGACAAGAACCTCGGCCTTGAGCCCTCTCACTCAAGTACTTGTGCGTCCTCTTCCTTCCTCTTATGCACAAGCTCTTGCTTGGTTTTATGATACTGCTCAAAATAAAAGTACTCTTGTCCTACTGTGCAATACTTTGATTCAGCTCGGTCACACTTTCAGGTGGTCTCTGGCCAAAGAAAGCTACAGCTGTTTGGTGGGACTGTGTGGGGGTTTTGTTTGGCAGACGGAGGGGTGCTAACCCTCAGCTGGCCACTGAGCGACCGCTGGGGCCATCTCGGCTCAGTGGCTCTGGGGCAGTCGGGCCAGCTGCTGTGAGAGGTGACAGAAGCAGTGTCTTCTGTAGATGACGTCCCGCTAACCAAGGTAACCTGCTGTCTGCTATTGGGCTTATTAGGAGATGATGCCCATAACACTTGTGATGCTGGTGGTTTGGTTTTGCAGCCCTGGGAGAGGAGGGCAGCTCTGACCTGTTGCTGTCCTCTCGGCTTGTGGGGTGCAGCTCTGCTTGCGGCGACCAGCTCGGGGGGTGGTGGTCGACAAGGGGTTTCTTTCTTGGAGAATTGTGTGCATGAGTCAGTCCAAGGGAAGGAAGGGAAGGAATCAGTTCCTGCTCTGTTGAGAAAGAGTTTTCTACTTCCAGCACTCCATGGCCAGTGACGAGACTTCTCTCTCCCTTCTCTCTTTTAACTCCAGCAGAACTGTGAGGCAGAGTCTGGTATGATACCATGGAAGGGCAACATAACCATCCACACCATCGAGGGGACCAGAACAACCCTCTCTGCAAGCTGCCGGGGCAGGAGTACCAGCATGATCCTCAGGTAAGTGCCTGTGTCCCTGATCTCTCTCCTTGTCTGTTTTCTTCCTTTCCTTTTGTAAAGGTCGATAGCTCTCTTAGTATTTAGCCTTTTTTCTTTTTCCCCCCTTTTATTTATTGGGCAGTTGTAGCAGTTTTAGGGTATATCCAGTTTGGGATTCTGCCAGCCGGTCAGGGTTTTCTGAATCCATTTTTTTTGATGATAGTAAGAGAAAAAGAAAATAGTTTGAATTTTGCTTAAAGTGAGTATTTTTAAATCATCTTATAAAAACATGTACTGTGTTGGCTTTCTCTTCTCTATGGTTCTTTGAAGAAAATGCCAAAGAAAAGCAGTTGTTTGTGTAAGTGAATAAATGTATTTTATCTCCTTTTATAGTTTAATAATAAATGAAGAAATAATTACCAAATACAGGAAAAAGTTGGTCCTACATGAAGCTGTAGGCTCTCGGACTGCGGTTCCTGTGAGTCTCTGGAATCTCCCCCGCAAGGTGCTTTGTCCTTACTGTTACCAAGTTTGACTCCAGCAGCCCGTGTGTCTCTTCGGGGCCTCTCTGCGGAAGCGAGCTAAAGTTTGGGTTAGACCTGCAGTCGCTGTCGATCCCTTCAGCGTAGCCGTGAAACTTGTTTTGTGAATTCTGCCTGCTTGCCTTTTGTAGACTGTTTATCACAACGATTAAGTTTTACCTGCATGGGTTTTGAGGAGTAAACAAAAAGCATCAAGAAAAAGCAGTCAGAAAGACGAGTACTGCAACCGTGCTGTAACGTTACCTTAGGGAGGGGGCTGCGGGTGTGAATTTGTCATTCCAAACGTGCCGTCCCGTGCTGATGCAGGTTCCTCGAACAGGCAGCGGCCGTCAGGAAAGCCGTATTGAAACGCGGAGCACGATCTCCCAGAGCAGTGAGTTGCCTACACGGAGCACAGCGATGGATGTGTCTTAACGCGGCGCTGCTGGGAAAGTAACGTCGTACGGAGCAAAGCCCCCCTCTCCTAATGCAGCAATTTGTCATATTAAGTCATTTAATAATAATTGAATCCCCTTGATTAATCTCCTAGAATTAGCCAGTTGCATTTCGAGCAATTAGGGTTAATTACTGCCTCATTTGGCAGGATAGAGCCCCTGTAATTATTTCATGAACAAGATTAGGAAGTGTTCCTGTGCAGCAGATACATTCATGGCATCTCAGAGCACATGTTAGAATTTGTAATGACATAGTTAAGTGTAATTAGTAGCTAATAATCTATGTTCTGCTGATGCTGAGTGGGCTCATTTTGCTGGATGGTCATTGTGCAGTGAAACCTCCCCTCCGCTCTCACAGTATCCAGGTTATGTTAATGGAGGATTCCAAGTGCATTAACTGTTCTGAGAATGATGTAGTTTGGAATTAGGATTGCAGAAAGACTTTCTTTGGTTTTACTCGTAAAATAAAATTTAAAAAAAGCTGAATAGCAAAACTATACAGTCTACCAGAGAATTGGGAAAAAAAACAAACCCCAAACCAATCTCCTTAGCAAACTCCGTTTAGAAATTAACAGCAGTTGTACTATTTAGAGGGCAGGCTGGCTTACACTGATGGCATGGTACGGTTGCTTATTACATATGTCTGATTGTCCATTTTGCAGGAACGTAATTACATACAATTTTCAATTTTCTAGTACCTATTACCTGGAAGAATCCAAAATGACATAATTTCTTTCTTCAGAAGAAAGAAATGAACACAGACATGCTATGTAATAGTCTATGGTGGAGAGAGAGGCTTGGAAGGAAAAATTGACCAAACTGATCTTAGAGGAAATGTCATGAATGGCTGAGATCAAAGCTTAAGCAGAAAAAACCAAACTTGAGCTTTTAGAGTCTTTCAAGAGGAGGGGTTTTTGTGGGGAATGGCCCTTTTGTTCAAAACTGCTGTGTCACACGCACAGCCCCATCAAAGACCAGAGCAACCGTGGGCTCCTCTGGTAGGAACTTTGTAGTTATGCTGCGGCTTAAAGTTTTTTGGGTTTGGTTTGGTTTGGTTTTTTTTTTGTTCTGACAGAGGTGTTACTCTTGTTTTATAACTAGTTGGTATACAGCTGTGAGTTATCAGACTTTTTTTGGCCTTTCATTACTATAATTTAGTAATAAGATGACACTTTAGAGTAATGCTTTGTATTTGGAAGTTTTCTAGAGTAAGTGCATATATGGATAGGGAGAAGGCCAAATAAAAGCACAGGTTTAGCTCTTGGCTCCCTTACCTGCCCAGCATTACCCTGATGGGGTTTGTCGGCGGGAGGCAGAAGGTTTTGTAGTAATGTGCCAGAGCGTCAAGCGTCTGAGTCTCCAGATTACTTAGTGTCTAAGCAGTAAACGCTAATTGTGAGTAAATCAGTGATATAAAGCTACGGAGCTTGACTTCGTTTCTGCACTAAATAAACACAGTAACTCACTTTTAAACAACCCTTTAATATACTCACACAGCTTAGCAGCAGAGCTGGTGTGGTCATGTCATTTTGGTCTGCAAAATGAAGGTACAGTTGAACTGAGACTCTTAAATTTATAATTCTCTGAATTTCTATGTTAATATTAGTTTTGTGAGTATCGCTTTGGTCTGCTATTTTTAAGCTGGTATTTCTCTCATTCCTTGTCTTAAGCTAGCACAAATATCTGCTGATAGGGATATTAAAACTTTGAAAATCAAATCAAGTTCTTCAGCAAACTTCAAATTCTAGGTTATTTTAAGATGACTGCATAGTCTAGTTTTGCAGCGGCAAATTGCAAAACCTGGTGCGTTCTTCAGTGATCACTTGACTACCTGTGTGAAGGATAATCCATATTTTAAGTTCCCTCATCTCTTGTGAGCTTAAAAGTCCCTTTTTTAATCAATCTGTTCTAATGTGTTCTTGTAAATTCACACTGGAATTTCAACCTTGAAGTATGCAAAATTCTTTTCAGGTAGACATTATTGAATGGAGATGGGTGTGTAATTTGGGACATCATAAAGAGGTTTGGAACGCTGATGTGGTAGTAAATCATTGCTTATAATGTACACGTGTTCGACTGGAGGGGCTGAAGCTTCCCCATCTACTATCGCAGATGTCTTTTAAAGGTGAAATTAGTTTACGGTAAATGTCATTCAGATGAAGTATGCACTTTAGAAGCAAGGAAACCATTCCTTTAAAATTAATGATGCATTGCAAATATCAGAAAAAAACCCCTTATATCCAGTGTAAAGATAATTAAAATTCAGGTCAGAAGTGTATGACTTAGTCGGGATAAATTTTTTAATGAGATTTCAGAAAATTAATTGGGCGAGTATGTTTTTATTCTTCTAAAGAATATTTCATTTTGTGGCTCTACAGGAAAGATGCTTTTATTGGCATCTAAAGATTGTAGTGTCTGACTTTTTAACTGTTCATTAGCCAATCTTTAGTGATTTTTAGGTTGATTACAAATAATCTAAACGCCTTGTGACCTTGTAGGCATTTGTGCAGATGATGACTAGTGCCAGTTTTGCACATGCCAATCGGGCAGCAGTAAAGCAACTGACTTTATTATTAATTAACATTAGCACTTTGGGTTTATATATTGTGCAATTAGCTGTTAACATTCCCCTTTTTTCAGCTCGTTCAGGCTTATTTTTTCTCTGCCTCTGGGAGAAGCAGTCGTACAGGCTTCGCTCTGCAGTGTGTTAGTATTTCACTGATTTTTCTCTTTGGTCTTTCAGTGCTCTCCTTTCCCTGAAACGCTGGGTTAGAGGCTGCAGGAGGGGCTGCCTGCATAGTTTTCTCAGGACTGTTCAGGTTTTCCCCAGATCTGAAATAATTACGAAGAGGTAAATCTATTGGCCAAACTTCAGTTGTGCTGGAGAGTGGAAATTTTTCTACAGAACCGCTTTTCCTTCTTCTTCTTCTTCTTCTTCTTCCTCTTCTTCTTCTTCTTCTTCTTCTTCTTCTTCTTCCTCTTCTTCTTCTTCTTCTTCTTCTTCTTCTTCTTCTTCTTCTTCTTCTTCTTCTTCTTTTTCTTCTTCTTCTTCTTCTTCTTCTTTATCCCAAAGTAGAAATTCTGACCTGTTGTCCAGCCTCTCTGCTGGCGCAGTAACAGCCAGCCCTGAAAACGTGGAAGCGTAAGTGCAAACTATGTCCTATCACCAGAGAGCAAGTATATACCAAGGAGCTTTTCTGATACCGTCATACCCCGTATTTCCCTGGGTTGCTTTACGATCTGCTTTATAGACTCCTATTAATCTTTAATTAAGTTTCTTATCCTTTCAGCATACATGCTCAGGTGTGTCCCAGCTCATATAACTGAAGTCTTTATTTAATTGCATTTTGGTTTTTTAGTATTACAAAAACTTGCTGTACTCTGTTTTGCAGAAAGTCTTGTAACACCTCAAAATCTGAGGCTGAAAGTTCCGGCCAACTTCTCCCTTAAGTATTGCTACGAGGGTTGTCGTCGTGTACTTCTGCCAGCTTTGAAATTTTTGCTCTCGCATCAGTGGTTACATCGAAAAGAGAGCATGCACGCCAGAGATGCTGTCCAGAATAGCTTGTTCCTGGAATAATCTCTGCATTTCTTCTTTAAAATGAATAGCCTCTTTATTCAGATGAGGAATTAATTGACTTTAATATTTGGCAGGGGGTTTTGTGTCTTTTTTTTTTTATTGGAGTAGTAGAAGAATGAGACTTCATTGTTGGATAAAGAGAACAGTCTTTGTCTCAAAACTAGTTCTTCCCAGCCTGTCCCCTTCCTCCAGCTGCCCTGGGAACAGAAATGTGCAAACAGCCCAATTTTCTTTAGAGCTCCAATGGTCGGAGGGATTTTTTGGTTGGTTGGGTGGTTGGGTTTTTCTCCCCTTCTTTTTATTTCTTTTAATAATTCGAGCTCCATCATTGACCCTGAAACTTGTTCTGCAGAGACAGTGGCTTGGTTATACCGTATTCATGCAGAGCTGAACTGTTCACTGGGCCTGAATCTGTCCTGGAAATGAGAGAATCTGTTTCTGATGAACAGTTTTGAAGATGGTGATGCTGTCTAATTTTACACGCAATTTATATCTGTATATGAAAACTCTTTGAGATTTGCAGAAATAAAGATCGTGGTTTATTTAAAAGGATAGGCTTTGGTTCTTTGACAGCTTTGTGAAAAAATATAGCGGTTAAATGTGGAGAGACTCGGGGAAAAAATGGAGTTCCCCCTGTCAAAAGTCATGAAATAAAGTGAAATGTGTGCCAGGCCAGACTATAGGGACGGTATTCTGAGGAGGTAGGTTTTTCTTAGGTATTCTAAATGTGTCCTTGTGGCAGTATTTGGAAGAGTTACGTATGGGTAAGTAGAGGAAAGCGTAACAGAAGGTTCATTTTTAAGAGACCTCTGGGAAACGGGCTCCCGTCATCAAGAGGGAGCTCTCTGGCACGGCTTGGTCTAACCTGAGCTCGCTCTCTGCCTTGCGCCGTATCAAACATCTTCCAGCCTCTGTGAAAGCTCCATTACTTTAATTAGGTCTGATAGGTTGTGATAGCAAATGCAAATCTAGGTCATTGCATATGTAAATGTGCAGCTGTAGTCCTGGAGGATGCCAGAACCTATCAGCTGAGGTGTCCAGTCATCAGCCAGCACTAACTCCAGCACGACAGGCAGGCGTCATGTGCTAACCATGGGAAAGTGGTCAGGACACACACCCCCCGTCACTTGCCTAACGTTTATTTGTATTTTCAAGTTAAGAAGTCGCTAGATATTTCTTGGCACATGCTTAAAATATTAATTTACACTTAAACCTTCTTGTTTTAAACACAATTTAATGATGTACGAAGGGCAAATGGATACCATCCTTGATTGCAGCAGAGTTTTCTTCCTTAAAAAGGGAGTTTTGTGGTAGTTGCTTCATAAAATCTTGTTTAAACGGATACGTCTATTGTGAATGTTAAGTCCCAAGTTAGAAAAGCTTTTGCTCAAACCTTCTTACTGCTCAGGAGTCTGGCTCAGGAGGCACGTGTTCATGGTTAAGGAAATTATTTGATTCCTTTCCATTTTTTAATTGAGGAAAAATGTTTTGTAACTTTGTATACCGACACTTTCAGTTTGGCTGGGTAAAGTGATTGGACTGGACAGCTCAGTTAATTTGCTTGGTAGTTCCTATGTAAAAAGGAAACGGAGATGTTCCTGACTAGTTATCGCAAATGCTTGTGTGCAGACGTTGCTCTGGTGGCTTCAGCACACAAAAATGCGCCTCAACTAATGTTTTGGTTGTGCTCCCTGGAATGAAGTGAGGATTCCTGCAAATCCTAATGCAGGCTGCTTGTTTGTGTAGGTTCCTCTTCATGAATTAAAATTTTCTCGGAGAATATTTACATGCTCATGCTGATGGATGAAGGAGCTTAGCTGTGGCCCTGGCGTTTCAGAAATAATTGCTCAAAGTGCCATTTAATCTGAAAAGGAGTAGGTTTGCTCTTTTAGGGAACTTAAACCGAGAAAGCTGATGGTCATGATGGCCTGGAGCTAAATTTCCGTTTATGTGCCTCTTTGAATTAGCAGACGTTGGCGGGATGTTGTGGCGTTGCGTTTTTGTCTTCTCTGGAGTTCGTAAACTTCTCAGCTGCGAGTCGAGCGCGGTGTCCTCAGCGGGTGCCGGGCAGGGGCGCGGACGCGCGGGACACGCTCCAGCCTCCCGCTGCCAGGGGCATGAGGGGCGCGCTGAGAGCAAAAGGACCTGACAGTCTTCTCATTGTCTGATTTGGGATTTACGTCCACATCTCCGTATCATCAGCGTTTATAACGCGTGATCGTTTCTCTCCTGCGTGTGCCTGAAGTAGATTTCGTTGTGGGGATTTTTCCTGCATTTGTCGGGATAAAGATGCTGTAAAGGTGACAGTTTTCAAAATAGCTTGTCTAGGTTGATTGGTGCAGTTTGTGGGGCAGGAATTCCTATTTAGGGGACTTCATTGGTGAGCTTTCTTAAAAACACTGAATTTTAAACCTATGTTTACAAAACCTCTGTAGTTCTGTGTTGTGCAGACACCTTGAAATCTGGAATCTTTTCAGAAGTCTGATTGATGCTTTCTGTTGCTTGTCAACTGGTAGTCGTTTTTGTTTCTATTGCAAAGAAAAGAAGTCCAAACCAATTTATTTGTCAAAATAAATACGCACTGTCAGAGAGCCGGTTAACTCAGTGGCTTGAGCTGACAACAATGACAACACCGAGGTTGCAGGTTTGATTTCTGCTTGGTCCCCATGTGTTGCCTGGTCTAGTTGAGAGGTGTCCCTGCCCATGACAGAGAAGTTGGATTAAATGATCTCTGAGGTCCCTTCCAGCCTAGGCCAGTCTGTGATCTATGATCTATGATCCTGGTGCTGCCTGCAGCGTGGTGCTGGCAGAGGATGCTGGGCTGAAGGCTTTACCCACGATGTAAACCTCCCCTCCCGCCCCAGCGCCCTTTTGGGGACTGACGGGGCAGCCGTGGCCGGACACCCCTCCTGGGCTGGGGCTGTCCCCGAAGATGCAGCTGCAGGCGATGGCTGCATGCCTGGGGAGCCCCGGCCCCAACCTCTGGCGTGGACCTGTCTTGTTGTGGGTTTCCCTGGGAGCTCTGAAATGGCTCGTGGGGCTGGAGCTTCAAACTGTCTGACAGCACACAGTGCAACTTTAAGTAATTTGTTTTCGCAATTCCTCTTTGAAGCATCGGTTAGCAGTCCTGTTAATTACAGAAGAGACGGGACCGGCTCTAGGGAGCAGTTCCTAGTCCATGGAGTACGTAATTCTCGTTAGGCCGTGGCTACCTGCCTGGCTGGGTATTTACCTGAGACTGCTCCAGGGTAACACCAGCATCTGCCAAGGGAGGCAAGCAGGCAAAGGTGGTGAGAGGGTGTGTAACTAGGGAGGCAGTAGTTTGGGACTAATTAATTACTTACATGGAAGGCAAGGCTTTTATTTCCTTTTTAAAAAAATCATTTAACTGAATTCAGCCTGTGTTGCCCATGGATTTGCTAGGAATTAATGCTTTTAGGTCAGAATTATCTATAGACTGATCAGCACAGATTAAACTGCCAACCATCCGCAATGAGAGCGAGAGGCTGTGCCCGTTACAACATCTCGGCTCTGCTCTCTTCTGTTCGTGTTTGGTAGCTGTTACGAGTTTTGTGCTTTGGTTTATTCGGTATTTTTACAGGAGTCTCTGCCGTTAACGTGTGTGCACACGCATGGCAGCCCTGTGCTGCTCTTCTGCATCACTGTTGCTCTGGTGCAGGGTTGTCTGAAGTGAACAAAGAAAACTGAAGGTGGGAAAAAGAAAGCGGGACCACTCTGTTGCACACCAAATTTCTTTGCCTTTCTGGCCAAGCAGTCCTTACTGAGAGGAGCTTAACCTCCTGAGTATCATTAGTCATAGGATTGACTAGTTTGCAGTTAGAGAGAATAGAGATTGGGAATGCAGTTTCATGGTTTGCATCACTTCTTCTGGTTCATTGATTTAATTTCTTTTGACTTCAACAGAGACATTTAACGTCGTATCCGTACCGCTGCACGTTGGCAGATTTTCAGATAGAGAAAAAGATTGGGCGAGGGCAGTTCAGCGAAGTTTACAGAGCAACTTGTCTTCTGGACAGAAAACCTGTGGCATTAAAGAAAGTTCAGGTGAGCATTTAAGTTCAAAGTTCTAAGGTCTGGCAAGTAGAGTGGGAATGTTCTAAGCGTCTCCACAGATTACTCCGAGTCAAACACCTCTTTTGGTATTTTATCAGCAGTAATAGTGCAATAAAATGCTCTATAAGTTGAGAGTTCAAGGTTTGAGAGCACTGGGTGATCTGGTTTGATATTTTTATGTTAGAAAATGCCAACACTCTGCTTTCTTATTTTATTCAGTCGGATTTTAGAGGGTTCTTGGAGTGGGGTTATGTTCCTAAATCAGAATTACGTAGCAGTAGCACAATTTCGTGTTTATTTTTAATTTCGCTTATTACTTTATAAAAAGAGTTTACTAAATTATTATTAAATGTGTGTAAAAGAGCAAGGCCCTAATGACCATAGTCCCAGAGCTGAGAGATTCATCTCACGCAAGAGCATGAAAAGGAAAAATGTCTGTGCTTGCTTTTAGAAGAATTTCTGAAAAACTTTCATGTGAGCGGCATAGACTTGTAACTTGGCTTAAAGTATCGTGCAATGTTCAGAATAGCATTTTGTTTGAAGAAATTTGCCTTTAATCCTTCAACAGATCCTTTAAACTCTTGTTTCTAGTGGCTTACTCTCTGGTTATTACAGAATGAATATTAATGCTCAATATTATTGTTAAACCAGTGGAAGCTGTTTAAAAGGAAAAGTAAACATTTTATCTCTTATTTACTGTGTGAGATTAATAGCGACTAAACTAGCTGTTTTGAAAATCATGACAGCAAATTGAGAAACTAGTATCTTTATCTGTTGCGCGGCTTAGAATATTGCCTACGGGTTCTAAAGTCAGTGTTACCCTATTGCTAGCCCTTTAGTGCTTCTGAACTAAAACACGGGTCTATCTTTGATCTGGTGGTTGTGTATATGCTCATTATAGCAGCTCTACAAATTAGGGGAGGAAAGACCAATTTCGCGTTAAAATTGCAATGTCTTTGTTGTTGCTGTTGTTTCATGTTAATCTTCTGTATTTTTGTCTTTGAAGATTTTTGAAATGATGGATGCCAAGGCTAGGCAAGATTGCATTAAAGAGATTGACCTCTTGAAGGTAAGAATTTTTGCACTGACTTTTTCTGGTTTTGGGTTGGCAATAGTCATTTGCCTCTCGTGGCAGAGAAAGCTCATAAAGCCCCCACACACCATGGTCTGGATGGGCCCTGCTTTCTTCCGCAAGCTAGAATGTTTTGTGTTAAAGCTTAACTTACTGAGTTTTCTGCCTATAGTCTACAGAATCTGTTAAAAATCTTTCTGTCATGAAAAAAAAGGTAAGTACTCCTCCTTCATAGAGGCATGTAAATTCTACCCTGTATGTGTTTTGATTTGTCACTTTAAAATAAGCTAATTAATGAACTAGCTACCTGGGGAAACAGTTGTACATGTGCATGTCCTGTCTATATGTATGTATACATATCACACATGAAAAAAGATGGTTTAGATAAAGGCTCTGAAACAAGTAAGGTGGGTTTTTTTACGCGACTGAACCAAGTAATAATTTTTTTTTTTCCATCTCAGTAATTTGTTTCAAAATTTTGGTAGAAAATCTATATGCCTTGCACTTTAAATATCTATTTTGAGCAAACGCAACAGATTGTAGAAGGCTAAAATTTTAGTTTAGCCAGTCAAATTTAATTTTAATTATTAAATCATTTTGTAAATGGATTTTTGGGTATTTCTATTTAAATTGTTGATTTATATTCATGCAGTTGAGAACAAAGCTTGAGTCTGCTAGGCTGTAGTGAAGGCACGGAGGAATAAACATGAAGATAGTGCTTGTGTGAACGTGATCCGGGCACTTAAGTCATGGAGAAAAATCAGGCAACGTTTGACAAGAGGATTTGTAGTATTTTTGGGTTCTAAGTAGTTGGTTTTGTCTTGAACTCTGATTATGGAAGATGTCATAAACTTGCGCAGGATTTATTTAGAGCAGAATGTGCAATTTTATTAGAGTTGGAGGAAAATGCAGATAAAATAGCCAGGATGGCAGGAGTCTGCAGCAGGTCGGCTCCGTCCGCTGGGCGGGGAGACCAGAGGCACCTTATTCCTCGGGTGGAGCCCCCGCCCCGAGCCAGATCCCAGCCGGGGTCAGCGCACGGCCGGGTTGTGGAAGTGAACGGGATCCATCGAGCTCAACAGGGGCCATAAAACCAGGTTCTTTTGTGCAATATTTTGCAGAAAGCCGGGAGGCATTCTGTTAGATCCATTTTGCTGGGGGTGAAGGGGAGCGGGGAGGGTTGCTGACAGTCGGCACAAACACTCCGGTGTGCTGGTAACTGAACTGGGATCTGTCGCTGAATTCCTGCTTGGCCAGGAGTCCGAAATCTGAGTAAGTTAAGTCAGTTTGAATCCCATTGTATTACAGATGCAAAGGGGATGTATTTCTTAATATTGTCAAAAAGGTTTAGGTAAAACAGCTCAAGAACTTGTCTGTAATCAGCGTTTGGGCTGCCAGCACCCACACTCCCTCGTTTCGTGGTGGCTTACCTGTCCACCTGCCACTGGCTGGCAGTGCTGCTGTGTGTACACATCAGGCAGTAACTGCCAGCATACTTTTAGGATGCATTAAAGAAATAGGAAATGTCAGTAACCCAGAATAAAGTGTTTGTAATGTTTTTTTCGTTTAAGGGTTTGTAAGAATGCACACACAAAAGAAAATTCAGGTAGCCTTTTCCAGGCTGCATGAATATACAATAGTTATTAAAAAAAGAAGAAAAAAACCCTGAAAACAGAATCAATATAGTTATTTAAAAATAAGTTTGACAAAAGGAAGAACAGAGAATGTAAGTTTGGCTTACCCAGAGTGGTCTGCCTGGCTGTTCTTGGAAAACGGAGCTCAAAGATCAGTGAGTTGTAATAAAAATGTGGGCTTGTGCATCCAGCCCGTGAAGGGCCGTGGGCAGGGTCCTGCCTCTCCCCGCAGAGCCTGGTGCCAGGGGAGTCTGCAGAGGGCTGCTCGGCGCAGGAGCTGCCGCAGAAGTTAGCAGTTAGTGCATTATTTTCATCCGTCAAATTTTAAATTTAATTCTGTTCTTCTAAGGGGTCAAGAGACCTCAAGGAGTACTGTAACAAACATTTGAGGGTTTTGTTTATATTTAATGGGGGAAAATACCAGTTACTGCTTAACAAAGCTTCTTTCAGGACATCGCTTCTAAATATTTTGCAAGTTTACACTAGAAAAGGTTGTTTCACTCTGTTTTGAACCGCACTGCTCTTTACTCAGGACACTTGTTCTGCTGTGCTTGCAATAAGTGATATTTCTCGCAGGCGTTTTGCCTAGAGCAGAGCCCGGTCGGTAGTTGCACCTCTCATGAACTGTTTTGCACAGAGATCACAGAAGCTGCCTGAGTCTTGTGTCGTGGGGTTGTTACTGCAGCATTCTAACTTCTTTCCTTGCATTCCCTCTGCCTGCAGCAACTGAACCACCCCAATATAATCAAGTATTTGGATTCTTTTATTGAAGACAATGAACTCAACATTGTCCTGGAACTGGCTGACGCTGGTGACCTCTCTCAGATGATTAAGGTGAGCACGTGCCACGTCTAGAGCTGCGACGAACTTTGAGGACCGGGCAGCGGCAGGGGCTGGGGGGATAAGCGTGTCTGTGCAAGAAGCACTTTTATTCTCTTCTCGTGGTTTTGCCGACTCGCAGAGGGGTTCCAGAGCCCCAGTGCAACAGGTTTGCCAGGCTGTGCCCCTGCTCCCACTCGCCGCCTCGGAGCGATGTGGTGGGACGTGCGTGTTGCTCGCGAGGTTGATTTATCCCGTCTGCAGTTGATGGGGACGTCTAATTACTGTCAGGCTCACGATTCGCGTAGCCTGTCTGCCACTGCGAAGACATTCAAGAAAGTGTATTGACTTTCTCTGCAGTGGGGATTTGGGTTTGAGAAAATGTTGCGAGTACTTGTTCTTCTTTTATGTTGCTCTTAGGAATACTTGTATTGCTGCAAACCAGCTTTAGTTAAGCTGTTACCACCTGCTTTTATATTTTCTTTGACATGTTAATCTTTAGACATACATCCCTTGTGAGAACAGATGTGTTATATCATGTTTGTTAGCACTCTCAACCTTCTCTCCATGTTTTACCTGATTTTTGCCATCATTATTCTGTAATTATCATAAATGAATGTTTGGAAAGTTCTCCTCCTCCTTGTTGTCACAGTTAAAATATCTTATTAACAGATTTGTTTTCTTTGCCAGCACGGCTATGAGGCACTAGGCCAAAGGCTGTCAAACGAGTTAGCCGTTTAGTCCATAGTCAACGGCTAAATTTGCAACATCCGTGGAAATCTGCTCCATCTCACGGGAGAGTCCCCTGGGCGGGCGGTGGAGCCGCTTCTGGGGAAAACCCCAGAATTCCAGGCCCGGGCTCGCTCCGCGGCCGCTGCGTGGCAGGAGCGGGGGTTTGGGTCTGCCTCCAACCCGAGTGGAGCCGCCGGTGCCCCGTGGGGATCCGCAGGATCCGGGTCAGGGTCGTGGTGGTGCTCGCTGAGGGCCTGTCCTTCTGCCCAGGGAGAGCTCGTGTGTATTTTTATCTTTCCCTGTTTTCATGTGGCTTCTCGTTTTACCCTTTTCCCAGCAGATCCTGGGAAACTTGCAGTTTGTCTCAGGCTAAGGATGGGAAGGAAGTGAGGACTGTGAGAGCACGAGTTAAGGCTGGGATCGTCCTGGGCTGTGCAAGTGCTTTGCTTGATTTAGAGAGCTTCTTAAGAGCATTACCTACATCATTGTGACACATCATTGTATATTTGCCATTTTTTGTCACTTACGGTTTTTACTTTAAAGCATTCCCTACTGATAAATATGTTCATTTGTCTGCTGGAGTTAGTTAGGGAATTTTTTTAAATCACTTCTCATGTCATTCTAATCAGGAGTTACATTTTCCAAAAGGTGATGTGTAGATTGTTAGACTGATGGCACGGACAGCGCTGTAAGTGGCCTTCTCTGCTGCTGCTCACCAGGCTGTTTTCCCACAGACATAAAGAACATGCACTGGGATTTTTTCCAGGTCATATAAGTGATGTTTTTCCATTGGTTCAAAACTTAGAATTCTGGGTATTGTTAATAGAGGGGGCGGGGGGGGAAAAGGGACTAAAACCAAGAGGAAACAAATGTCTTAACGGCAGAAGTGGAGTTTCCTTGCCTGCCCCTCTGTCACCCCTGCGCCTCGCCCGTCCCTGGGGAATTTAGGAATTAAATGTGAGGATTTTCGGTTCCAGCGGGGCCGTAGGAACAGCAGTAACGAGGCTCTGAAGGTGCGAGAGTGCTAAAGCCAGGCACTTTGTCACGCCCCTGGTACCTGCATTATTTATGAGCTACGGCAAAGCCGGTGCAAGAGCGAGCGGGAGGACGACCCACGGGAGAGCCGGAGCTTCCTTGTCAGTGTCAGGCGGATCTTATTGGACATGACATTTAGAAAATTATCACTTGTGGTCTTGCATATCCGCTCTTCAGCACTTTAATGAGAATGAAATAGTTTTATTGTGTATGTAACACTTTATCCCTCACCCGCTGCAATTCCTCTGTGCTCTCTATCAAGTTTTGGTTTGAAACTGTTGCAATCTGTCAGATCTGCTGCCGGGGGAATTGCACTGTCGCGCCCCTTCGCAGCTGATCTGCAAAAGAGAGTTTGCCATTACTTGAGTCAAACACGAGCCAGTAACAGCATTTCACATGAAATACAAAATGTGACAACGGACATCAGATGTCTGCGGAGAGGAAAAAGCACAAGATGCAGAAAGGGGCAACAACCAATGCTCTGCCTTTATTCTTATTCTTGCACGCTGCCGGTGGGAAATCTCGTGGGCACGATGGGAAAGAAATGCAGCTGCAGCGAGCTGAAGGGTGTCCAGCCTCTCAGGGATAGTCGTTATCCAATGCCACCTTGTGCATCAGTGGCTGAGGATCAATCTTAAGCCTCTGAAGCATATTGTAAGTGTGTTTTGTTAAAGACGGATGAAGAACTGGCTCAGAGTCCGGGCTTGGCTACTCTTGGCGCTGCGTAAATGTGCACAAAACGGTCTTTTTCCAGATCTGTGTGTCTCTTGATCAGTAGTGTCCCTCAGCCTCACTAGAGAGAGTTCAGTTAATTTAGTATTCCTATTATGTATGAAATAGAATATATTATTCCAGCAGATCACAGAAGAAACATGGATACTTTATTGATGCTCTGGCTGTCTTTTAAAAAGGGGAAACTGGTTACCTCCTTGTTGTTAATAGACGGAACAACAACAATGAATGTTTACAAGATTTATTTTTTTTAATGGCCTTTTGTTACTTAAGGCAAAATATTTGAGACATTTGTTGTTTTGAGGCATTAAATATGTTTTGCAAGGTAATTAAGGAGATTAATGCTAATTATAATTGGTGTCCATTCAAAAATGTCAAACCTATTTAAGCATATTTTTCATAATAGTTGTTAATTAGTGAACTGCATTGAAGTTTGCATAAAGAGAGAAGGAGTTAAAAGCTAATCAGAAAAGTCGTGCTGCTGCGGATCTGGAAGACATGAGCAACCGGCAGCTGACTAACACAAGTCCGGGAACGAGTCAAATATGTTGCTTTTTCACTGATCTTTTATTTATTTCCTCCCACAGTATTTTAAAAAGCAGAAACGGTTAATCCCGGAAAGGACGGTGTGGAAATATTTTGTGCAGTTATGCAGTGCAGTCGAACACATGCACTCCCGCAGGGTGATGCACAGAGGTAACATTAATTCAGTCTCTTTTCACTGAATAATAATATAATGTTCCAATTAGTAAGCGCCTACATTCAAAAACAATTATGCTGATGTTCAGCCAATGCATGTTTAGAGAGGCTGGAGCTTGCAAGATGGATCTCTCCTTCTGTCTCTTTGCCTCATTGTTAAAGGATTCGGTCCGAAGTGAGGGAGGTGTTAGGAAGATGAGCTGCTTTGTATTCCAGACACTGATATTAAGTAGAAGTGTCAAACTTGCCATTAGAAAAGTGTCAGAAGTAAAATGCTGAGACTACTGGATACAGGGAGCTCTAAGAAATAGTCTTCATTATATTAGCGGTGACCTTAGAGAGCTTAGAAGAGTTTTGCAGTCGCGTAAGCTTTTCTGAAATATTAATACAAATACGTCCCACGCTTTCGTAACCTCTTCTCTATTTTCATTAATTATTTTTGAATCTCTTGTCTTAGAACTTTCTGTAACTTTGAGCTCTGTCCAAATATTACGTTGCTTCTTTCAGCGCAAATGAAATCCTCTGTGAAGGGCTTGACCCAGGAAATGCAAATATCCCAAAAGGCACCAGGACCAGTCTGTGCTCCTTGTTACTTCCTTTCTGCTCTGAAGCAGTGAATTCTTCACTGGTTTTTTTAGTGCCATGATACCATTTTTGCTCCTTTATACATCCCCTGCTGCGGTTTAACAGCAGTACCTGAAGTTTGGAGCCTTGTGCATTTACGTTGCTTTAATGGGAGGAAAGAATCCCACTAACTCAATCCTCACGTGACTCCTTGGGAAAATGGGGTTCTAGTCATTTTTATACACCTCGAACAACCGGGGCTGTTCAGAGCCCGGAACGTGTGTATCTGTGGGACAATCATTAGCCTTTGGTGTGAGGGGGCGACGGTGGGCAGTGCCGTTTCCCACAGAAAACGATCAGTTCCAAAGAGAAGCAGACTTAGTTCTTTGATTCTCCTCAGTTAGAGGTTGCCTCTATTCTGTTGCGCTGTTTCCTTCGTTTTCCCTCATTGGTATTTCTCGGGTGCTGGGAAGTGTACTCTGCTCTTTGTGTATCTGCAGAGCTTGAAGTCTTGGAAGATTCAGCCTATCAAAGCTATAAAGAAACACGGTTCTGCTCGAGCCTTTTTTGTACAGAAAGCGCTCCGGGCTATGTTTCTATTGCAGTAGTAGAACCAAATAACCTTCTGTGGCTTTGACCTTTTACCTTTTTCTTCTTGCAGACATAAAACCAGCCAACGTGTTTATAACAGCCACAGGGGTGGTGAAGCTGGGAGATCTTGGATTAGGACGATTTTTTAGTTCTAAAACCACTGCAGCACATTCCTTAGGTAAGACGGAACTCGCAGGCGCTGCCGCGCACTTGTCAGCTGTGATCTTCAAAAGCAGCGCTGTCTGTCCTCGGCTACGACAGAAGCTGCATTCAGTGGATGCATACTGTATTGTCTGTGATTTTAAATTGTATTTTAAATACATAGAGCCCGCGCGGTTCATCTCCTCCAAGAAGGGACTTCACTTGAAACTTAGGCTTTAAAGGTCTAAAGGTTTTTTTAAATGTCTTCACATATCTCAAAGTTGTTTTCCTGCTCTTCTGTTGGTGCAGCTAATTGTTCTTGCTAGAGCGTAGTACCTTGCTTTTATTCTTACTGATTTGTATCCCGTTTCCAGACTCTCCTACTCTGATTATTTTTAATTTTTTTTCTGTACTATGCTGTGCCTTGCTTTGTCCCAGCTTCATGTTCTCCCCAAAGGCAGTAGCATCGCCACGGTCCCCGTGTTAACACTTGCGTTGAACAGAGCTAGAGCAATTGGCTGTCCACTTGAAGCAGCCTTCGACTTTGGCAGCAAACTGCTTTTCCAGCCAATTCCATTAAGTTGGCTTCATTTTGATGGATTTTACAGTTTGCTTACAAGCAAAGTTAGGTAAGCCCTTGATAGAAGTGTTGATTGTAGTACATTGTTTGCTTCTGGTTCCTTCCTTCTGAAGCCTCATAACTTACCATGGAAAAAAATTCCATCAGGTGTCAGGATGTTTTGGGGACCAGTCATCATGATTATGATGCATTTCTCGTTCTTTTTTTCTGTGTTTTACAAGTAGCATGATTATTCTTCCAGCGTTTTTCTGGGAATTGAAGCTCAGGTGACTGGTTCAGAGCATCTGTGTTTCTCTCTCCCTCATTTTTACTATTAACATTAATTACAATGCTATAGAAAAATACACACTATAGACAGTTCATTCTTTAAGTCTTACAGTATAAAGTATGTCATAATTGTGTCTGTAATCTCTTGAGAGGTGACTGATTTTCTGGTTTTATTAATGGGTCTCAATTTTTTGAGTCACAAAGGTATTTTTGTGATACAGCAGTGAAGTAACTTGGGCTTTTAGTGCAGTATTTAAGCACTTTTATGTCTAGCTCTCATGGTTAATTTTGGAACACATGACATTTATTTCACTAATTCACTGATTTCCTCCACTGAGTGAGAGTCTCGCTCAATTGTTTCTTATATGCCTACAAACTTAATTAATAATACGCACCAACAAAACTGGGACTTCTCTGTACACAAGAAAAGAAGATAGATGCCTTGTTTTGTGTGTGCTTACAAAAGAGGCATTTCTACAGTTTATTTTCATAAAATATTGGGGATTTCCCTTTGCATCAAAAGCTATCTTAGGATATATAGACACGATACTTAATAGACTAAAATAAATCCTCTTCACAGAAAGTTACAATCACATCATCTCAACAGGCGAAAATATGATCACGTCTACTTATATGATCTTATCTAGTCTGACTGCTGCACTTATTATATTAATAAGAATAAATTGGGGCTTGGAAACTGGCTGCACATGGCTTGTGACCTTTACCAGGGTTGCTCTCTCTTAATTGAGAAAGCTCGGGTAGGAGGTGTTCAGGCTCTTCCGCACGAACCTTGTCCTTCCCCAAATCAGCAGCGTCCTCAAACCGGGTGAATAAGGTGCAGAACAGGAAGGGAGCAGCAGTGAGTGGCACTGGGGACGGTGCTGTGGTGCCACCATTTCCAGCTGCTCTCGTATCTAAGGAAAAAGAACATTTTAACAATCAAAAATACACAGACTTGAAGCTTTTTTCTTTTTCTTTTTTTGGTAATTTGCCAGACATACAGGTTGTGTAGCAGCAGGAAATCCACTGATCTTGGTTTTGGTTTAATTAAGACATTTGTTTAAGTAGCTGTGGGTGACGAACACCCTGCAAACCAGCGCGTGGTACCCGCACGGACCCAGGCTGTGACGCCGGGCGCTTCCCGTAGCCGCGTTGCCCTGGCAACCGCCCTGAACCATCATTTCTCTGGCTGCTGACCCATGAATTGAATGCGTGACTTATGCAAATATATTCGTCTAATTTTTTTATTATTTTTTTTCTCCCTTTCGTTGTGTTTTCTAGCATCAGCCTGGCATAAAAGGGCATTAGGCAGTACCACGACCCATCTGACAGGTGTACCACTGGGCTGCGGCGGCACGACATTAGAGCGAGGAACAGAATGAACGTCAGATGAATTACCAGGCAGCAGATCATATTTGTCAGGAAGGATTGCATACATAAAAATTAAGTGACAGTACATGCCGGGGTAATGAAAGAAAAATGAAAGATTTGCCCGTACACGGCTCGTGAGATGCAGGCGAGCGCCTGGCTCGGAGCGACACAGGGTGCCCGGCCGCTCACGAGCATCGCCGGGGCAGCAGCAGCCACGAGGCTGGGAAAGCCCTGGCCCCTGGAAAACCTGTGGGGGGGAACCGTGGACACCTCCTGTCTCACCAAGTAACGCCGCGGTGTTGGGACGGGCAGTGGCGTTGTGGGCTGGGTGGTAACGCCAGGGAGCAGCCGGGGGCTGGAGGGGTGGCCGAGGTCCCTGGGTGACGCCTCTTGTGCCGCCTTCCCCTTCCCCGGCCTGGCTGGTGAGAGGAAACGGAGATGCTTTCCTGTAGGAGAGAGCTCTTCCTGCACGGGCTGTGCCAGAAAACCCCATGTTTTAAGGTGTAGCCGAGGTGACTTTCTCTCCCCACTGGTCACAACGGGTGGCGTATTGTCCTGCCTTCCCTGCTGGCAGCTCGCCCGGAGCAGCAGCTCCGGGGTTTGGTTTAGTGGCGATGGACTCGTGTATCACAGAAACCCTCGTGCTGGGGGCGTGGGAGGCAGCAGGGGAGGTGGGAGTTCAGCATGAAGTGGGGAGGTTACTGCTGCTTACTGTCTTCTTGAAAGACGTTTACAGCCTGTTCTTTTGCAGTTTGTAACGCGAGCATTTTGCTGCATTCAGAGCTTTTTGGTTGGCCGCTTTGAGTTTTTTCTTTTTTGTTTTAGTGTGCCTATTTTTTTCCCTCAGAGGAGCCATAGGATACCTGCTTGGCAGGCGATTTCAGTACTGAAAATGACTGAGAAAAAGGAGATAAGAAGAAAAAAGAAAGAACCCCCCAACTTTTCACAGAATGTTTTTGTTCTGGAGTGGATGATTTATTATTTATTCTTGGACAAGAAAAAACTTGGAGCAGATTTTCCTTCTGGGAAATGCATGGAAGTCAAAGCTTCCCAGTTTGGAACACACCGAGAGCCGGGGATTGGAGTACGTGGGGTGTTACATGTTCCTGCTGGGTTCTTGTTGGATGCGAGGGTGAACGGGGAGTAACTGGAGGTGTGAGAGGTGTAAAAGAGCCCTTTTATAAATGGACTGGGTTTCTCTTTTTTTTTTTGCTTTTGCTTGCTGAGCCAGTTTGCCATCTGAAACAAAACCACAGTACTTCAAGGGGTTAGTAAGCAGGACTTGTTAAGAAAAGGTGGAGACAAATCCACTTAAAATTTCCACAGCCAGTGTTCTGTGCGCTTTGAGAAATGTTGACCGTTTGGCCTGTGCCTGTAGTAAACTGTTTGTAGAAGAAAAGATTGCTGCAGGATTTCTGCAGGTGTATTGTACTACCTACTTGTAAAAACAATGAAAGCAAGAAAAAAAATCAGAACAGGCCCCCTAAACCACACAAAGAAGCCCCCAAACTACAAGGGCTTTATAGGGCTGTGCATGTCATTAATTACTAATATACTAATGAGAAGAAGGTAGAGAGCTTAGAGCAACAAGTCTTGTAAAAACAGGTGCCATATTATGCACAAAATAGTTGTTCTCTTTTGTGGGAATAGGTAGAATCTTGTTTTCCTTTCCCCTCTGTTGAAACAATTAGTGGGGGTCCCTCACACTGAGATTTGAAGGAATTTAAAGTATGTTTTAGTGCCTTTGACCACTTCAGCTAATTCCCAAAAGTTGGATTAATTCCCAAGTTCTCCTTCTGGGAAAAAAACGTGGCCTTCCTGTTGGAAATTCACCCCCAAGTAATGCCGGCGTTCAGAAAAACGGGCATTTAGAACCAGACTCCTTTTAAGTAATGCTGTACGTTTTTGTCAGTGACCTACGAGCATGTCTGGAGAGATGAGACAGGTGAGAGTTGTGGACTTTGATTTTCAAGTAGAATTCCTTCCCTGCTGTCTTTGCACCATGAGATATTATTAAAACATACTCAAATGTTTTTCTCAACTGTCTGTTCATGGACTGTCTAATCGTGGGTCTTTCATGGTAAAGCTGGGCTAATAGTTCTGCAAGTATTTAATTATTGTCGTAAGACCCGGATGGTTTGTTGTTATTCATGGATGGCATCTCTGGTTTTTGAGTGTAGTTCTTGCCTTTTTCATTTGTAATGAGCATGTTTCAAAAATCACAAGTATTTCAAAACATTGCAAAGTTTGTTTTGACAGGAGTGGAACATCTCTAGAACGAAGGAATGCTTTAATCACTATTACCCCTTTGAGGCCCACGTTGTGCTCTGATATCTCTGGGTTTGAAACTGGGAATACTCTGTAAAGATACAATAAAGGTCAGAATTTGTTAGGTTCTTTCATATTCACAACTCAGTTCCCTGCTGTGAGAAAGCAAAGTGATAGATTCAGAAACACTGCTCAGCTCGGTAGTTAAGATTAGCTGGAAGGTGCTGGGAAGGTGGAGCAATAAAGGCTTTCCCTATCACTTGTTCTTGTGCTTCGCAGCCAAATGTGGCTACGGAGCGCGATTAATTTCCAGAGGTGCATATTTTTTATAGCATTTTTTTAAAACTCAGCATGCAGAGCCTGTTAAAACCTGCGGAAGTACTCTGCGCTGATTGCAGCCTAATGACAAATCCGCCTGAAGGTGCAGGAGGACAGGGGCTGTGAGAGGCTCCTCTGTGGTACCTTAAATTCAGGGCGTGATGGAGCCTCCGAAAAGTACGAGTGGGATTTCCTCCTGTTTCTGCGTAGCAGCCAGGGGTGGATTCGCTCGCAGTGTTGATCCCTGGTGTTTGCACAGGGAGGAGCTCAGAGCAGAAGCTAACGATGCCGATAACCCGGGTGCTGTCGCTTTCACAACAACGCAGGCGCCCCGATTCAACCTGAAAAACGTTTTCGAAACGGGTGAGCGTGACCTTCCCAGTGTGGTGAAAGCCTTGCCGAGTCAGGAAGTAACGCAGCTCTTCCCCGCGTGTTCCGGGGCTCCCATGTGCGCTAGTTGCTGTAGCGGCACGTGTCGGGTTCTTAATTCAGGCTGGATGGGAGAGGAAAGGAATTTGAATTTTGTTTCTGGAATAATTTCACTGCCTTTGGCTGTGTGCTTTCTTGGTGAAGGAAGAGACTCTGCTCCTGATCTGCCGGAGAATAATTGTCATTTCCCTGGCTGGGGTGTCGCAGAGATGCCGGAGCTGTTGCGGTGCGGGCGGTGTCGTCGCTGCACACAGGCAGGGCTGGGCACAGTAGGAAGAACGGTGGGTCTGGTGTTGCTCAGGTGGGCTGATATTCCCGTGGAGGGTTTTGACTTTCAGGAGTAGAACAGAAAGGTGGTTACTTACTCATAAGCTTCTCCACGGTTTTGCAACCTTTGTAACTTGAAGACATTACTCTACCACCTGGTGATTAATACTGAATCTGAACAATATTTTGTGTTTTCAGCAGGGCAAATGCCAAAGAAAGTTTCTGATTAATAGTCTCCGATTAGACTATTCTTGTCAAATTGACTAATGGGATGCAATGGTGAGCCCCGACTGATTGCGCTGGAAGCCTTGTGCGGTTCTCTAGAAGATGCTCATTACGGGAGATTCCCGCGTAATGTTGGACAGGCCGTAAAGAGAATTGGGCTTGTCAGTCTTTTGTCATGACAGTTATTTAAAAATTAATGTGCCGGTTTTGAAACGCAGCGGCCCGCTTGTTCGTTCATTTGCTGACAACACTAGAGTAATGATAGGTAAATGTGCAAGGTAGACTTCCGAAAATCAGCTCAGGCGTGGGCTGCTCCGCCGACCCATTAGGATAATGGAGCAGACTAACGCACAGAAAATCAAACAGGGCCCGTAACGCACTCAGCCGTGTCATAAGCCCTGTCAGCCCGCTTTGATCGAAGGTCGTTCTGAGGCGTGATCTGAAACGACAGTTTTAGCCTACCAAGCAGACCCCTGCGAACGAGGAAGGCAAGGCCGTAACTTCAGAGCCCACACGTTGTTATTTGCTCTGGGCTTGTCACGCAGTGACCCGGAATAACCGGTGGCAAGAATGGCTGCGGCCGGAGCCGCCCCCGGCCCCCGCGCTCAGAACCAGCAGCCTTGGGGGGGCGGGAGCGGGAAGGATCGCGGCGTTCCCGGAGCTGCAAGTGGGGAAGCGTCTGACGTGCCGGTGCTCGGCAGGGACTTCCAAAACCGCCTTCAAGAAGTTCGCGTAATGAATCACCCGTTTCTTCTGCAGCTGCTGTGTGTTTTTAAGCAGGAAGATGAATCAGTGCTCTTCCAACCAAGTTGGTTCTTGCACAGAAATCTGGCAAACGTGTGGGAATGACTTGGAGAGCCGGGCTGTCCGCTCCGCACATCTTGCCTGCACATGGGAGAGGCCCATGGAAAGCCTTGCTGGGCGTTTGGAGGAGTCCTGTCTGCTCGTGGGCTTCTGTGAAGTTGCTCTGTGCAGTCTGTTAAAAATCATTGACTAGTAACAGAACTCGTCCATACGTAGAGGCTTTCACTGGAAGTTAAAACCAGCCCAATGTGGGACAGTGTCGGTCTGGCATGCTCCTAGGCTGGGTATGGTGTTACTGAGCATGGAAACAAAATAATCTCCCTCTGTCGTTTTTCCTGTCTTGTAGTTTGTGTAGACTTTGCAAGAATGTAATTTCTTAAGGTGGTCTTCACATTGAAAACGAAGTAATTTCTTACCTGCAGGACCTGCAATCACAGGCTGGCTTTTGTCACACAGGAGCTGATCCCTGAAGGTCCCCGGGCACCAACCAGCTGAGCCGCTCGGGGCAGTGACCCCCTTGCAGGGTTACTTGTTCTGCTTTGGGAAGTTGGGTTTTCTCTGTGTGTTCCTGTCACGTCGTGCGTTTCGCACCGATGCCGTAGGATTCATTTCACGTTACACGCTACGTTTCTGGGTAGCTCCGAATAAAAGTTGTTGAGGGTCGGTAGACTCGAGGTTTGGGCATATAAACACGTGGCAAAAATTAGAGTAGAGATTGAAGGGGGTTGGGTTGGGGGGGCGGTTGTTGTCGTGAGGTAAGCTGCCTAATGTTCACCCCAGAGAAGGAAAATGCCGTGAGTATTTCAGGGGGAGTAGCTGATGCAGCATGACCCCAGTTCACCCCGCAGGAAACTGGGAGGGTAGAGACTTCAGGGATGGGGTGAACTGGGAGGATGTGGTGCGTGTGGCATCCCTGCTGCCTGCAAGACTTCCCTCGGGGATGCTTTTTTTGCCTTTGGGGAAGCTGTTGCTTTCTGCCCCCGCACTCATTAGTTTTCCCCGAGGGCTCACCCCTCCCGAGGAGCGCGGGGGCAGGAGGTGGCTTCTTCCCCCTCCACCTCTAGCACCGTCCTCCTCTGCTTATTAGTCCCCCAGCTGTCTGCAGTCGGCATTTCACGTGGAGAAATTGTAAACCGACTGTTACGGGCAAATTAAACATTTGCTGTCTTGTGAGGAGAGGTCTTTAATTAGGAGAAGGATACACTTGAATGCCAAAAGGAAAAAAAAAATTGACAGGGGATGGGCAAGCAGGGGAAGCAGGAGAAAAGAGAGCATATAAAGTCCTTGGATGTTTTAATAAATGATGTATCTGAGGATTATTTGATGTAGCTGAGACTGCCAGGATGTCTTGTATTTTCAGTACCACAACTGAAACTTATTTAGGATTTAAAAAAGAACCTTTTTGAGGTAAGGAATTTATTAATAATTTCCCGTAACTTCTGTCCAAAATGCTGGAGTAAATTTCTTTTGATAAAACACAGACTTGTGGAAGTACATAGCAATCCCCCAGCTTCTGACACGACCGCCAGCCGGAGCAGTGGTTTTGAAGTTGGGAATTATCATCTTGGTCCTTTCAGAAAGTTTTCTGAATACCTATCTGGTGCTCGGCTTGTTACTTCCATTTCTCTGCCGCAGTAACTGGTCTCCTGAACCCTTAAAAAAAGGGTTCCCTGTCGGCTCTGGAGCCGCTCGGTCACGCTGCCAGCGCCGCGTGTCAGCGCGTTCGGCCAAGGGGCTGTCACAGGGGCTGCTCAGGCGCCCGACTCGCAGCGTCGCTGCTGCCGAGGGAGCCAAAGGGGATGATCCTGCACGCGGCTCCGTCCGCCTGAGACGCTCAGAAGGTGCTTGGAAGGAGAAGAAGGCGTTCCTCGAATGTCACAAATGCAGGAGATGTTTTCAGTCACGTTCGTCAGTCCTGGCTCTGCATGTGATGATGGATTTGGTTTTACGCCTTCGAACGGTGATTCGTTTGCAGCTTTTTGTGCCAATCTCGTCTAATTAGCTATTCGTGCTAAACCTCCTCCTTCAACACAGTCAAACTTCTCTATAATGCAGGTTGCACAGTCACTTTTTAAGATGGTAACTCCTTGTTTGTTTGTTTTTTACAGTGGGAACTCCATACTATATGTCCCCAGAAAGAATACATGAAAATGGCTATAACTTTAAGTCTGATATCTGGTCTTTGGGCTGTTTACTGTATGAGGCAAGTATCTGCTAACTTTTTTTTTTCCCCAGGTTTGTCTCCACCACAAAATGCACACAGGAACTGAGTAGGTCAGACTTTGTTTAGCTTAATTGTTGAGAAACCTTACGGAGAGCTACCTCTTCTTGTGCTCATCACATGCTTTTGGAGCATGAACAACCAGGGGATTGTCCCGTACGGCACAGCACTTGCCCAAAGCTCGTTTAGCAGGTCACGGTCGATGCTGAGGCTGTACGTAGACCAGCCAGCTGGCTGCAGAGCACTCATCGAGTTTTTACGCAATACAAAATCAGTTCCTCTAACTTTATTTGCTGGGTTTTTTTATAATTCTACATTGTCTTGTAGGCAAATGCAGAGATGCGAAGCGGCACGCTTGGCTTGAAGTACACACAGTGTGCAACTTTTTCTTAAAACGTATTATGTGTATTTTGAAAATAAGTGTTATGATTTTATAACAGTACTTAGGGTTTTGTGAGCTCACTTTCAGCAGGGATCAAAGGGTATTGAACTGTCTTATGCTCATTTATAATCTAATCTTAGTTTTGGGGTTTTTTTTTGATGTATGCATCTTGGAATTCAAGTGAAAGTACATGTCAACATTTAGAAACCTTTTATCCCAGCCCAGAGGATTAAAAATCTCTGGGATATTTTGTAGCTCACATCCTCTTTGGGTAATAAATTACGTGAACTGATGACATTTTGCTTCTCACTACAACTTCTCGTAACCACATGGAATTAGAGAATAAACAGAAGGTCGGGATGCGGCCCCTCGGCCGTGACTGTGACGCGCAGCCGCTCCGTCGCGCTGCGCCGAGTCATCGCCGAGGCTGAGCTCTGCTGGAGATGGGATTCCAGATTTATGCAGAGAGAAATATTTAGCGTGGTGCTAAGATATGTTTTTGTTGCAGGCAATATGGTCCCCTTATGGCACCGGCGTCTTGGTGCTCCTTACGTTTCAAGAAGCTGACTTAATTGCGCACTAAACATAATTCTCTGGTAGGAGTAGCAGTGCTATAGTAACGTGTGCAAGATTTGGCCTGTGGAGCGTTTTTAAATTTGCTTCCTACGTAGGTAAGCCTTAACTTTGTGAACAGGAGCTGTGAGATCTTGCAAATTCCAAGGAGGGCTGGACGGTTACCAGTTTTGCATTCGGTAGATAAACAGCTACTTGACTTTTTAAACTTCTCTAGAATTTGGAAAATTAAAAATCCAATCTGTGTGTCTTTGAAGGAGCTGTACTTTGTCTTACTGATTTCTTGTAACGAGAATGTTTTTCCATTTGGCTTCTAAGTAAGGGAGCAATGTTTGTTTGGTTGTGAGTCACTTCTGATATTTCTCCAGATAGATTGTGTAGATAAGCTGCGGAGAGATTTAATGTACAAATTGCCTTCAGAGACACGCGTGTCCACTGGAATCCACTTAGGGAACATTGAGGGGTTTGGGATGTGATGCCACATAGCACCACTTAACTTTGACATTGATAATCATACAGTGATTTTTATTAAATCTTATCAATAGAGTAGTAACTGTCTCCATCCCTCACTTCCTGTAGATATCTGTCAGCAAGATAACTTGGAGAGGATAAAAATAAGTTGTTAATTCCCAGAATATAGCTACAAGCAATGACTTTAGCAGGCCTGGCAAGGCGATCAATTTGAACACTAACAGTGATTCCTATATATATATATATATATATTTTAACCAGTCATGCTGCATGGTGGTCGTTTTAAATGGAGATCTAGCCGTCCCGCGGTAATTGCTCTAATCAAAATGTCAGGAGCAAACCCCAGCACAGCATCGCAAACTGTTGTTAGTGAGATGTTTGGAACGCCCGTGGTCACGACCCCCGCAGCCCCCACCGCTCGAGTCAGTCCGCGCGTGCTCCCTCTTCCTGGTTTAATTCCCTGCATTTACCCCCCAAAACCCCACGGTGGTTCCTTTTCATTCCTCCTCTCCTGCACACGACCGCTTAACTAGACTTGGGGAGAAGAGTTAATGGGAATTGAAAAATCCCTTTCAACCTTACTGGCATTATTGATGTTTGTATTGAAATGTTGGAGACCTTGTTTAACCCTTGATTACCTTCTGTGCCTTCCCTAATGTGCCCATTAGTGGCTTTCTTGGAACAATCTTACCTGCTGGGCGGCCCAGTTTCGTTTTAACTGATGGAGAGCAGTTGGCCATCAATCTCTAATTGGAGATTAGAGTCTCTAATGGGAGTCTAAGGGGTTTGCTTTTTTTCCCCACTGATGTACCAGCTATTCTTAGGACAGTAATGAAGTAAAGGTGATAAAACTTCACCTTTTGCCTTCAAAAACTTGCAGAGAACCAAGAGCACGGGGCTGTCGGAGCTCTCCCCCACCCTCAAGGTTCCATTCTCGAGCTCGTTGGACGATTTTTCAGCCTCAGGTCTGTAGGATGAGGAGGAATAGCTGAGCATTACTACTGCCGAGAGCGGTGGGACTACAGGAAGGTGCAAGCGCGCCCGTTCTCCAGCCCAGCTGTTAAAGGCATAATCCCTCTTCTCGCTCAGCCTGCAGCAAAGCACAGTAAATGTCACTCGCACAGCAAATATCTTGAGCTACGTCACTTGAAGCATTACAGATGGAAAGCTGAACAAGCCTGGAATTTTCTGAGATGTTTCTGGGAGCTGCGTGCTCGGTTTGCTGTGTCCTTCAGTGTAACTTGGGTATATTCTGTATTTCCATTTATAAGCCTCTCTGGATATCTGATAAATACCTCTAGAAGAGCTTCTGAGAAACATTTTAGTCTGATGACACATGAAGAGATGACCTTGGAGACTTGATCTTTTTCCTGCTCGTGATGGCTCAGGACTCCTTGAGAGGGTCTCTTCCCTCTGCACTTCCCCCCGGCACAAGGTGACGCTCTGCAGCCGGGGGGTTTCACTGATTTCACGGAGTAACCAGTGAGTCTCACAAATGAGCGAGGGAGAGACGTAACGACTTTAAGTTACTTAAAAGATAGATCTGTCGTTTACAGAAAGGCTCGCTTATCTTGACACGTCCTGCACTGCTCAACGCTTGAACGTGAAGGGTGGGAGGTTTTGGTGAGATCCCCCTGCGGTGCCCGGGGATCTCCTGCTGCCGGGAGCTCACTCAGACCCAGCCCTGCACACCCCTGCCCTCGGCAAAACCGCTCCTCGGCCACAAATCACTCGTCATCCATCAGTCTGATTCCTAACGGCAGGATAACGGAGTGGAAGATCTAGTATTGGCTTTTTTTTTAAATTTTGCTGGGAGCTCACTGTGTGTGTCAGCAGCGAGACAGCGTTCCTCAGACGCCTTTCCCAGCACATGGTAATGAGAGAAAGACTAATAATCGTCAGATAACTCCCCATTAAAGCTGTAGCGAGAGGCATCAACTTCAGCCGGCCTCAGTGTGAAAAGCTTCCCGATTGGATGCACCTTGTAGCAAAACGGTTTTAGAAATATCTAAACAGAGTGGATAATGCTCATGATGATCCTGTGGTGCTTCGTTAGGAGGTGGCGTGGGGCTGCCTCTGACTGGCGACAAGGGTGACCAGCAGTGCCTGGGCGAGCCCCTGGGCTAACGAGTGCCTGGGCCAGTGGCCACGGGGCAGGCTGGGCTGGGAGCCGAGTGGGGAGAAGCGAGAGGGGAGGACTCTTGGCTCGTCCTGTGTACCTTCAACGCAACTTGAGCCGTGTTTTGTAAGTTCAGAAATGCTGGTGTTGCTGTCGCTGCTTTTCTGAGGCTCCTCGTTGGGTGTTGGGTCTGACCTCCCGGCTGGGAGCTCGCGGTGTAAATGGGTTTCCAAACGCGACGATGCAGTTTCCTTCCTGAGACTTCAGTGTAATATAAACATATTTTTGTAGGGAGTCTCCGCATGCCCTGGAAGGAATTTTTTCCCCACCCAGAGCCTTCCGTCGTGCTCTCCTCGCTGTGTGAGCAGCCTGGTTATAGAATCATAGAATCATGGAAAAGTTCAGGTTGGAGAAGACCCTTGGGATCATCAAGTCCAACCCATAGCCCTGCTCTGCAGAGTCCACTCCTAAACCATCTGCCCCAGCACTGCATCCGAACGACCTTTAAACACCTCCAGGGAAGCACTGGATTCATAAAACTGAACTGAAAGAGGAAAAAGACCAGATTGATCAGGAAAAGAGTCAGTAGTTTGGTTCCCAAATCTGCCTGGGATACTCTTGTCTAAACAGCAGGTTTCTGGCAGGAAGGGATGTTTGTTTTGAGGTCATTCTGTGGGTTTTTTAAAGGCTGAAGTACATTGCTCATGCTTACACGAGTCTTCATATTCTAGGGAGCTAACTGTCCAAAAATAATCCATCTGTTCTCTGTAGCGGTCTGTTAAAAATCTCCCAGTTGCAGAGAGCAAATGAACTGAACAGGGTCGTAACCGAGGAAGATTGAAACTGTGACACGTTCTCAAAGTCAGAAAAGCTGCTGCTTTTCCAAGAGATGATTGTGGTTCTGACAGGTTTTCATAGTCAGCTCTGAGCTAGGTGGCTTCTAGCCGCGTGCCCTAAGCATCTATTCCTTGACTTTCTAAAAAACCAAAAAGGTAATTTTTTTTCTGTGCGCCTGTAGAATTGCCTGTGTCCACCCAGCGTCCCACACCTGAAACGTTTTGAGCAGAAAGAATCACTGTGACGGGCAAGAGTTGAGACTTTGCGGCTCGGTGCTGCCCAGCGAGCTCGGAGCAGCTTTGGCTGCGGACGGTCTCGGAGAGTGACGTCGTCTCTTGCTCAGTGTCAAAGAACAGAATTTGCTCTTGTCACTCAGCAGCACCGAGGGCTATTAAACCCTTCGTGTTTCTGAAATATTTTCTGTTTTCTCTCTCCAGATGGCAGCTCTTCAGAGCCCTTTCTACGGGGATAAAATGAACCTGTTTTCTCTTTGCCAAAAAATAGAGCAATGTGACTACCCGCCTCTTCCAGCTGAACATTATTCTGAAAAGGTAAACTGGGAGCATCTTTGCAGGGGAGTGGCGGGGGGTGATGTGTGCGCAGCAGAGTCCCTCCCTGCACAAGGGAGAGGGAACAAACGCGGGAGCAGAAGTCTCCCCCACAGCCAAGGCAGGACAGGAGATGGCCCCAGTGTCCTGGGGAGCTCTGGGGCTGGCTACGGAAAGTAGCTGAGTTAGTTAAGACAGAAAAGAAGATTTCTTAATGTGGGGAATGGTTTGAAGGCAAAGGCCTGTGACGCTGGCAGAAGCCATCAAGGAGCCGTGGGAAAGCCCTCTCCTTCGCTTCCTTTCCCTCAAACTGACACTCCATAAACCAGGGTTGAAAGTTTTGTTTACAGAGTCTTCACTGTGTGACAAAGGGGAAAAGACTCTTTTTATAGAAGAGAGGGAGGAGAACGATGTAGTTTAACGCAGTAAGCGTCTATACAGCCGCTGTATGGGAGCTTCTTAAAGTCTGGATTTTGCACCTATGAAGGCGAGGGATGGAGAGCAGGAGCTGAACCAGAATGTATAAAAAAATCGCTCCTGTGCACGTTTGCTCAGTGCTGTTTCACTTCAGCGGCACACACATCTGTTGTTTTTGTTCAGGGCCTTTTGAGAGGAGTTTTTTAAATTGGTTTTTTCCTCACCTACACAAACCAGCAGTCTTTCCTTACCTCCTCATTCAGTTACAGTTGCCTCCTACTTGAAAGGAAATGGCTAATGTAATTTTAAATGTTCACCATATCCTTTGGGGTTTTCTTTTGTTTTATTCCACCACAGAGTTCTGAGGAGCGAGAGGCAGGATGTGGGGGAAATATTCCGTGTGTGGCCAGTGTGGTCTCCAGCCTGAGAGGGACCCTGCGCTGCACATTGCACGTTTTACTTCATTTTTTTTTACTCGCCAAGTAACTCATGCAAAAAGATGGTTTTGAGAACTGTTCTGGAGAAGTGATTTTTTTTTAAAAAATTTTTTTTTTCCCCCAAGCTGCCATAGCACGAGTCCCGGCTCTGTGCGTTCCCGTTTGCCATGCTGTTGTAGCATGCGTCTCAGGATATGCCTGCTGGCAGCAAGAATTAGTGTAAGTTGACAGATGTGTTTCCTGTCTTTACAATTACTGTCTGTTTGCTTCCCTCTGGCAGTGCTGGAGTGTTGTAGTGCAGTGATACAATCCAGGGTGAGAAGGATGGTTTAAAGCTCAAAGGCGCCAGGTCCCAGAGAAGGAGACTCCAGATGGTGTTCGTACACTATGAACAGAACGCTTGACAAAGTCTGAGCAGGGCTCTGCCTTTGGCTGTAGCTCGTCTCGCTGCATTAGCTGCTGCTGCTGCTTCCCGAAACCGCAGAGAGCTGCTGGTTCGTGAACGTTAGAACGCGACTCCACCATGACCGACAGGAGGGTTAGGATGTGCTCTTAAAGACTGGATTTGCAGAAGCTTTTGGGAAAGGGGTGTTGCTGTCTCCCAGCAGCGAAGCTGGAGAAACCGTGCTGGCAGGCAGGATCGGAAACGTAGGGGCAGGCGCCTGCAGCAGCGACTTGCACCATTAAGAATTTCTTCTTCCCAAGGTCGGTGGTTGTCTGGGTCTGGACGTGCACACTTCCCTGCAAGAGCAGATGTCTGTGTTGTAGATTGAAAGGGCAGGGTGTTCACAAGCACTCTGACACCGTCACTGCCGCGGGTTTGAGAGCGGTGTGGGAAGGCAGTGATGCCTTTACGCCCTCCTGCCCGAAGGGAGGGCTGAGGATCGTTAGGCCGCGCGGCGCTGCCAGCGTTCTCAGTGATGCTCCGGCACCATCGGCACGTCTGCCCTGCGCCTCAGTCTCGAAGGGCAGCGTTGGCCGTGTGCTGGCTGCTGGTCACGTGAATATTTGAGTTGCAGCGTTGTCTGAGCTGAACGAGGCCGAGCATTTATTGAAGAACACTTGCTTTAATGGTGTTTCCTGTCCATGATGTTCCTCTTCTCCGTAGCCTTTTGTGGCAAACTGGTCCAAATCCTCCCCGATCAGCTGGCGTGTGCTGCTTGTAGCAGGAGGAGGAGCTGGGACTCCAGCCAGGGTTCGCTCTCTATATTGGGAACGAATTTGCCAGTAATTGAAGACACTGATTGGCGGCGCTTAGCGAGGCTCGGGCTGCCGGTTCCTCGTAGATGGTGAAACGCCTGCGCTGTCCTGGGCATCGACAGACGACAGAACTTCCCCGGCTGCGTTTTGGTGGTTTATTTGCTGATAGCACAGGCTCTGCTCAGAGCTTGAGAAGCGTTTGGAATTGTTTGTGGGCATTTTGTAGCGAATGTGTCTGATGGGGGCTGAGGTTGCGCGTTATCTCTTTGGTGTCTCGGGGTTGAAGCCCCCCTGCCCTCACATGAATTGGAGTCACTGCAGCGCGGGGTCCTGCTCCACCCAGAGCGGAAACCTCGCTTGAGTCCGTTCAGTAATGCAGCTGAAGCCATGTGCTTGATAGCTGTATGGTCATGCTTTTAATTACCATTAAAATAATTGGCACTGTGGCTACTGGGAGGATTGGGAGAAGATCAGAGGCTCAAGGCTGTTTCTCCCGCTGCCTCGGGGGTACGAGCAGCTTTCAGTGTCTGTATAATTAAAAGCTACAATCTTTCATGTGCACAATAAAGAGGGTTGGGAGGTGGGGAGACCAGCCCTTCTGCATTTTATTTATTGAACATAATCAGTGACCAGTCTCTCTTCTTCACAAAGGTTTTCAGGAGGTGCTGGTGTTTGACAGCCCTGCTCCAGCAGCTCACCAGGCACCAGAGCTGCTCGTGCATGAGCACCCCTGCGACACGGGGTGGGCAGCGCAGTTGTTGTGCAGGGTGGGACACGTTTTAAACCCTCCCTCTGCCCCCTCCCCCTTTTCCTCAGAGTCCATTTGCACTGAAAAGTCCATCCCTCAGGAAAAAAGACCACCCCTCCCCGTGTCAGGAGCAGCAGGGCAGGGGTGGGGGCTACGTTCCGTGTGGAGCCCCACTGCACGGCTGAGCAGGGAACCCCTCGGTACGTGTTCGCTACTACCGCATTGTAAGTCATGATGTAACATCCACCGGGTTGTGCAGGATTTGAACTCTCGGTGTTGAAGGTTTGATGGGAAAGGTTCTTCCTGGCCCTTTGGTATGGGGGACGCGGGCTGGAGCGTTTGTGTGCCCGTCACTGCCCAGGAAGAGCCCCTGGGGGGTTCCCAGCTCCTGGCCTGGGCTCCAGCAGTTGGACGAAGGTTCCCGCGGTCGTTTCCAGCGAGAACCGGGCGGGTTTGCTGACCTTCAGGCGCCTGTTTTCCTGTCTTTCAGCTGCGGGAGCTGGTGGGCATGTGCATATACCCCGACCCAGATCAAAGACCTGACATTGGTTACGTGCACCAAATAGCGAAACAAATGCATGTGTGGACCTCCAGCACCTGACCCGGCGGCGAAGGCGCTGCAGAAGCCGGCACAGCTCAGTCTTACTTGAATTCAGTTTTTTCTCAGATGAAACCGACTGGTGCCCAGTCAGTCACACGAGCGAGAGGGTTGAGCACTCGTAGCAAGATGCTCCATTATTTCTGCAGGTTATCTGACAAGGACTCTTAGAAGGTGGTCATGCTTTAACGTGAAGATTCTGTGAGGTATTGCAAGTGATTTTTTTTTTTTTATTTTATTTTATTTTTCCCTTTTAAGGCCAATAACATGTTACAGATGTAGATCATTTAGGGGTCCTTTCCTAAAACTGTCGTGTGTAATCTAGGATAGATGATATTAACAGGGGTGTCAGATCATTTGACACCCCCTCTCTCTATCTTAACTGTAATGTGAAATATTGAAATAATTCCTTCAGTGAAATCACTTTATACTAATGTAAGAATTACAGTAGATTTTGTGTAATTTGTATAACTGCTACTTTGCCTCTTCTGCAAATGGTTAATAGCAAATTCAGTTTTTACTTTGTATATTTTAAAGCAGCCATTTACGTGTTTTTATTAATTCCCTCCTCTTCAGACTTAGGAACTGGGAAGGGGTGGGGGGTGGGAAGCACATTTGTTTCAAGATTTCTTTCTTTTTTTTTTTTTTGTTTAATTGAAATTTAGAGTATTTTGCTGATGCATTTATCTGTTAACTTGGCTGCAGCCAGTGAGGTGAGTTCACCACGTACCTGGGGAAAAAAAGACAAACATGCCAAACCAAGTGTTGCTTCTGCAAATAATTTCTCTTTAAATGCCCTTTTCCCATTTGGCATGATTGATTCTTTTTAGCCTACAGGTTCTTGTTTATAAAGAAACAGACCAGTGTTTATCTAAGCCAAGTAGATTTTGGTGAAGATACTTCTACATGTCGGTAGTACGACAGGTACTATAGGTAAAAGTTAAGTAAAGCAGTGTTTTAAACACTTTCAGTTCATTTTTTTGGAAAGAAACAAGTAAAAGGGTTTGCGTATCTAATTCTACATAAGGATCAGCCCCCGTCTATTGAACTGTGAAAGCTGATTTCCAGAATGTGAATTTTTTATAAAATCTCAACCTGATTTGAAGGAGTCGTCGTCTTTAACCACATGAAAATTTTCATCCGACTAAATTCATTCATTGAATCAATGATCTGTTTCGTTCCTGGCGAGGAGAACTAGTCACTGCTTTAGGAACACGCGTGGATTCACGTTCCAGTGTTTCCATTTCCCGTGCCCGCTCAGCAGAGCGGGGCTGCACTTCACCTTCCGGAGGGCTCGGCGCGGCGGCCCGGCAGTCTGCCTGCCCCGGCGGCTCGTGCCAAAACGGACACTTGTGTGTGCAGTTCAAATGCAGCCTGGGCCTTTTTTTTTCCTTAAGTGTACAAGCCGTAATTTTTTGGAAATAAGATTAGGGTTAGAGGGTTACATACATATATATGCTTTTAGTGATTTATTTTTTTTAACCTAATTTGCTCTACTTAAAGGAAAACTGCGGTGCTGTCTTCAACTGCTTCCCCTCAGATCCTCCAGTATCTGTATAGAGTAGTAAAGCCATTAATTGCTGTGAATAACGTTGGTATCATTAATGCGAGGTGCCATATTATTGAGTCTTCTCAGCAAAAAGTTGAGCCTGCTGCTCTCCTGAGAGATTCAGGAAATTCAAATCAGCCTGAGAATGTAGGGGAGGCACCGAATTGCTTCCAACATTCCCAAGCTAACGTGGTTAATTTATGCCCGGCTTCTTTAGCAATTCTGAGCTCTGTGACCGAGGCCCGGCACGTCTCCGCTGCAGCTTTCCCTTAGCCACGGTGGCAGCTACACGGGCAGAGGTTGTGCTGCGCCTCTGGTGTGACCTGGAAAAGGATCTTGGGCTTCCAGGGAAGCTCAGCTTAAATTTGAGTGTCTCCAGAAGTCTGGTCATGTTCTTGCTACATAAAATTTACTAGTGCTTATAAGTAAATGTATTTCAAAAGGTAATTTTTTTTTTTGCAATTGTGCATTTTTAGATAAATAAAAAAAAAGACTTACAAAATAAACACCTTTGTTTAAAAAAAAAAAAAAAAGAGTCCAGTATTAAGGAAAATATTTTAAAAGGGCTTAAAGATGTGTGAAACTGCTTTTTGTGCAGATACTGTTACAGAAGATGGACAACTGGTCTACATAAATTGTAGAAGAGAAGAACATTTATGTTAAATTACAGCTCATCGCACGGGGCTTGCACAGAAGGGTTTTTGCTGTTCTGTTCCTAGAGTGCAGGAACAGCACAGGTGCTGTACCGAGGGGTTTCTCTGCCTCAGATGAGATTGTTCCAGAGGGATACCGGCCGGGGGCCCCTCTGCCCCCTGCCACTTCCCAGCTCTCTGGGGCCCTTTAAAGCCCACAGGGCTAAAAGAGGGGGTGAGATGCTGCAGGTCTGCTCTGTGTGAGCCTCGTGTTGTGAGAAGGGAAAAACAACAACAGAAATAACACCAGGTAGAGAC